AAAAAAAGAAATGATTGATTTTTTTATTACAAACAAAAACCTGTTTGGTATCACTTTATGGTTCACTAAAAAGTGCTAATGAACAGTGGAAATTCAACGAAATTATCTGTTCGCAACCATTCAATAAATGAAATCGATTCGGTGACAAACTGTATTATTAGTAGTAATTGTAATTAACTCTATACTTTCCACTCTGTGCTCGCTAGCACAAAATATGTTCATTACGCGCTAATCCCCTATGCTTCTGAGCAATGCATTTAAAAATTTTTGCTATCGAAATTGGCAAAAAATAGTACTCGTGCTTCGTTAAGCTCCTCATACTTTTTCACATCTGACCCCGTCTCACTGGTTTCGAATGTTGTGTTTTGTTTCCCGACATATCGAACAAGCATCGAGGCAACGATACCACACAAACAAAGAAAACCGAATCGTACAGAAACACCGACAGTAACCATTCATCTAGTCACCTGGTATTCAACAGAACTTGTTTGGTCATGGTCAATGAATGATAGATGAACGGTACGGTACATACAATCATAAACCAGATATTCCATACTTGTAAACGTTTAGACTCACTTCATATTATAACAGAACAAACCAGTGTAAATCAGCCAATTGTCACACATCAACCATTCAACTGTAATGTGTAAGATGAGAACACAAACAAATGAAACATATTAAATTTATTCCGAATGTTTGTTAATTACAATTCTGCAAAATCAGGCCAATTACATCACATGCAGCCATTTATCATACATGAGGATGATAACTCTGATGGCTATACATCACCAACAGAGACAGACTAGCAACTGATCACAGATATTTTCAATTATCACTGCCGTGCGATTAGACATCCCAAAGATGTCGTGTAGAAGTCTGGCACCATTTCTGTACGCTTCGCTTCTTGATTTTGTTTCACATTATCTAAAGAATGCACTCCGGAGAGCACAAGCGTTGTTCGAAGTCCATGTCGGCGTCCAAAGACAATATCAGTATTTGTTCTGAAAACAAATGAACAACTAGATTTTCATACCACAATCTGGCATCACGTAATCCCACTACTGCTCTTGTCGTGCTTGCGTTAGGCTAGCCAAAAAAATTCAGCATCAATAAAGAGAGAAAACTCTCTCTTCATCAATTGAAAAATCAATCCATCAGAATAAAGTTGGGCGTTTCTCTTCGCTTTTTCTTAAATTCCCTTTTTTTGTCTTACCGTTTCGTCTTACCATTAAAAAAGCATCGTATCGTATCGTTACATTTCTCATCTTTCAGCAAAAAGAATTTTTATCAAAAAAAGAATCAAAAGAGAAGTATCACAACGAGTCTCATCATAACAAAAACAAAACTAAAACCCATTCGATTGCCCGTGCGAAGCATTCTGGAGTGGATAACACACAAAAACATAATACCTATCACCGAACATCATCGTTCGTTCTGGTTGAATATTCCACCGAGCACAAATATACTCAAATGCGGCTGAATGCGGTTTACCCATTACGATCGGTTCTCGACCAGCAGCCGTCTTGACTGCAGCTATAATTGGACCAGCATCTGGAATTATCATCTTCGGATGTGGACCGGGACTGGTCTCATCTTCATTTGTACCCAGGAAAAGACACTCCTCATCCTAAACTGCGCATACCAGCATTACTGACGAAGACATTTTACTGATTTTCATAAAGTCACGACCACTGAATAACAAGAAAGTTTCTTCATTCAGGAAATGAAGTTGCAATTAGTAAACAATCGCCTACACTTAGTCAATACATCAACAACTATCAACCAGTGATACCTTGGAGGTCCTTAAAATTGTAAATATCTAATAAACTTCGCCCAGCAACATGTTCACCTTTATTTGAGCTTTTGTGGAGTGACCTTTTGATGAAGGAATTGCCACAGATTTCCTCACCCTTAGGACAATTTGCGATCAAAATTAAGTGATGAACGCCATGAAATTTACAATCTCAATCGATTCATAACAATAATAAAACTGGTTGCTCGATGGTAATATTGAATTATTCACTTCAAGCAAAACAGTCGTAAGCAACTTTCATTTCGTTATGTATCTTACCTGCAGAAAATTCGCAGCACGCATCAGTTTAACATAACTGAAATGCTTCTCAAAACCAACTACAACTGCACCAACTTTCGTTAACTGAAACGAAATAAATTCACTGAGAGACAGATTTTGATGCATACAAATTCAAAGAATCAATGACGGATACACATTACTGCAATCACATGAACAGAGGATGATAAAACCAAAATCAAATATTCAAAGGAATATTTGATTTTGATTCTATCATCGTGCACATTCAAAAGAATTACATCAAACTGCATCATCAACTGAAAAGCAAACTCGATATAACCAATAATCGAGATTCAAACTAAAAAGAATCGTCAATACGTAGATCAAACTAGTGCACTGAACGATCACCGTTCATAAATAAAAAATTCATTGACGCTAATCAGAAATGAGGAGAAAGCATGAAAAATTATAAGAGAAACTGGATTCTATCAGAGAATGCGAAAAACCATACCGGATCGTCAAAACCGACGCGATACACGAATGCATCTTTACTCAAAAAGTTATCATCATCTATATTCCCAGCGTACGCTGGATCAGGTCCACAACCAAAGTGCTCAATTCCGGCATCGTCGAGTTGCTCGGCAAATCCTTTCGAACCAATCAAATACACCTTACGATTATCTGCACCAAACCCTCTTGATAAGAGGTAATGAATAATTATTACGGCAGGATTGATGATATTCTCCTGAAGTTGGATTGAATTCTGTTAATGTGATTAATAAACGATTCATTAACATTACGACTCATCCGGTTTCTTTCGGTTGCTTTTGATTCATTACTAGGAGTGGAGGGGAAAACCTTATATGGTAAAATTTTACCTGCGTGAGCATAGTGACTGCAAGTTCCACGAAATCAATAAAAATACGAAATTATTGCAATAATGATAATACAAACTTCACTCATTCCCACAAACCGCATATGTTGCATTTTTGATAATAATGCAGACCGTGATTTATTCGAATTGTTTGTTAATACCAAGATTTGCTTACCCTGAAAAACATTATATGTTTACATCTCAGCACTCTGAATGAGTACGAAAAACAAAAAGGAAACAATCTATCAAAGAAATGACTGCAGTCCAAAGTAATATCACCATCACTATAAACTCTCAAGCGTGAAGAAGGAACTAACATGCTCAATAAGAAATTCTAGGAATTCAGCTGAACCAACAATAGGCGTACTGTCAAGCCATAAAACACCATCTGCATCGAATATGAACGTATCGATTTCGCACAACAACTCAGCAAACGATACCGAATCGAGGAACACTGGGAATTCAGATCGCTTCCTGCAAAACAACTGATAAACAGCAAATTCCACAAATACATATTTACTGAAAACAATAACTCAGTGGGCAAATAAATGATACACATATCAATCCATTTCACCAAATTTTCGCCTCATTAAGATCACACACTTTTTTTTCGACGATTTTAAAATGAAAATTTTTTCTTAATGCTTGGCTGCATTTCCATAATCCTTTCAGCAATTTTGAAATTATATTGATGATAAATTAATGCGAAATCGGGAATTTGAACAAAGTAACGAAAATGAGTGGAATATCAAGCAAATTTTATCTTTCTTTAGCAGACATTCAAATATGGAACAAAAGATGTGGAAATGAATCACTAACCGTTCATTCAAAACAGTAGCGTTACATGTTGTTGCACTCGTTGGCTTTGGCTGAAATTGAGAAGTCTTTAGTGTTTGTTTTTGTTGCAGATCACTTTTCAAAAGAATTGCAGAGAAAGCTCAATACCACCTCTTGCAATGTGATAATTCAAGACTGGAAATCTTTCTCAAGAAAATAACAGAATAGTTATGCTACAATACAATGTTGACAGTAATACGAAAATAACACACCTCTTCATTAAATGGATTAAAGTGAAGAGAGCAAATTTGAGGAACAACTCACCAGTACACTGGAGAACTTTGAATTTTGATTGGGAGTAAACCGACGTTTCT